ACTTGTTTTATTTGGTAATAGTTAGAAGGGATTTATTCGGTTTATTAATAGTTTAGTTAATTTGTTCACTGTTAGAGTTCGGTAAATAAATTGTTACTACTTGACTGTAAAGTGAGTTTCTAGTTTAACCACTAGAAGTTGCTGAAAGGCAGGTTAAACCACTTTTCAGACTCCTTTTACAGATTATAGGGTGAGGTGATCCTCTTTGAGTGTTTCGGTTTTAGTTCTCAGAGGGGGGTCAACCTCTGCTTTATAACAAAGGATGGGGGAGGGTCATGAGAGGAGGGGGAGTGGCATTTTGATTAGGGATAACATTACATCTGTCCTTAGGGAGGATATTCCTGGGAATATGCCCAGGGAAGTTATTTGGGTGGAACTGAGGAAATAAGAAGGGAATGATCACCTTTTTGGGATTGCATTATAGTCAGCAGGAAATTGAAAAACAAGTTTGTAAGGAGGACTCAGTGATCTGTAAGAATAATGGGGTGGTTATGGTAGGGGATTTTAACTTTCCGAACATAGACTGGGACTGCCATAGTGTCAAGGGCTAGGATGGAGAGGAATTTGTTAAGTGTGTACAAGAAAATTTTCTTGTTCAGTATGTGAATGTACCTACTAGAGAAAGAGCAAAACTTGAGCTCCTCTTGGGAAATAAGGCAGGGCAGGTGACTGAGGTGTCAGTGGGGGACCACTCTGGGGCCAGTGACCATAATGCTAACAGATTTAAAATAGTGATGGGAAAGGATAGACCGGATCTAAAAGTTAAATTTCTAAATTGGAGGAAGGCTAATTTTGATGGTATTAGGCAAAAACTTTCAAAAGTTGATTAGGGGCAGCAGATGTTCGCAGGTAAAGGGTCGACTGGAAAATGGGAAGCCTTCACAAATGAGATAACGAGGCTCCAGAGACAGTATGTTCCTGTTAGGGTGAAGGCCAAGGGTGGTAGGTGTAGGGAATGCTGGATGACTAAATAAATTGAAGTTTTGGTCAAGAGTAAGAAGGAAGCATGTGTCAGGTATAGAGCACAGGATCAAGTGAATCCCGAGAACAGTATAAAGGCAGTAGGAGTATATTTAAGAGGGAAATCAGGAGGGCAAAAAGGGGACATGGGATAGCTTTGGCAAATAGGGTTAAGGAGAATTCAAAGGGATTCTACAAATACATTAAGGACAAAAGGGTAACTAGGGACAGAATAGGGCCCCTTAAATATCAGCAAGGCTGCCGATGTGTGAAACCGCAGGAGATAGGGGAGATACTGACTGAGTATTTTGCATCAGTGTTTACTGAGGAGAAGAATATGGAAGATAGAAAACATGGGGAAATAAATAGTGATGTCTTGAAAAATGTCCATATTACAGAGTCAAAAGTCACACACAGGTTATAGTCCAACGGGTTTATTTGAAAACATATGCTTTCGGAGTCTCTCTCACACACACACATATAAATCTATGGGGTGAATCTGCATTTGCAGATTTGTAATTGCAGATACGTTCTATTTTGTTCAAAAAGCACACAATTTGTAGACAGCCAACTTGGCATTTTATAAATTCATACTTTGGAAATAAAACAAGCCTGACTCCTAGTTAACACACAGATTCTAAACAAGGCCTCAGACTTAAAATGCATTGTCTGACCTGAGATGTCAGCTCTGGTATACTGAGAAAACCTTCAGTTATCTCAGGGCGGTGACTTGAAAGAAATTCTAGAATATGTGTATTACTACTTTCTAACTAATTAAAGATTTAACAGCCATCTTAGGTTTGTTCAATATATTCGCATCAGTTCTTTGACCTTTTGATCTTTTGCTTATAAGTTCTGTGTCTGATGCCACCCCTCTCACTAACACCCGAAGAAGGAGCGAGGCTTCGAAAGCTTGTGTTTTCAAGTAAACCTGTTGGACTTTAACCAGGTGTCGTGTGATTTTTAACCTTGTCCATCCCAGTCCAACACTGGCATCTCCACATCATATTATAAAGGAGGTGGTGCTGGATGTTTTAAAATGTATAAAGGTGGATAAATCCCCAGGACATGATCAGGTGTACGCTCGAACTGTGTGCAAAGCTAGGGAAGTGATCGCTGGGCCCCTTTCTGAGATATTCATATCATCAATAGCTACAGCTGAGGTGCTGGGAGACTGGGGGTCGGCTAACGTGGTGCCATTATTTAAGAAAGGTGGTCAGGAAAAACCAGGGGACTATAGACCGGTGAGCCTGACATCAGTGGTGGGCAAGTAGTTGGAGGGAAATCCTGAAGGACAGGATTTACATGTATTTGGAAAGGCAAGGACTGATTAGGGATAGTCAACATGGCTTTGTGCGTGGGAAATCATGTCTCACTAACAACTGAGTTTTTTGAAGAAGTAACAAAGAAGATTGATGAGGTCAGAGCGGTGGACGTGATCCAAATGGACTTCGATAAGGCGTTCAAAAATGTTCATCATGGTAGATTGGTTAGCAAGGTGATTCCACACAGAATACAGGGAGAACTAGCCATTTGGATACAGAACTGGCTCAAAGGTAGAAGACAGAGGGCAGTGGTGGAGGGTTGCTTTTCAGACTGGAGGCCTGTGACCAGTGGTGTGCCACAAGGACCAGTGGGTCCACTGCTTTTCATCATTTATATAAATGATTTGGATTTAAACATGGGAGGTGTGGTTATTAAGTTTGCAGGTGACATCAAAGTTGGAGGTGCAGTGGAGAGTGAAGAAGGTTACCTCAGAGTACAATGGGATCATGATCAAATGGGCCAATGGGTATAGATAAATGCTTCATGCTGCATTTTGGAAAGGTAAATCAGGTCAGGACTTATACCCTTAATGATAATGTCCTGGGGATTGTTGCTGAACAAAGAGACCTTGGAGTGCAGGTTCATAGTTCCTTGAAAATTGAGTTGTAGATAGACAGGGCAGTGAAGGCTTTTGGTATGCATGCCTTTATTGGTCAGTGCATGGAGTAAGGGAGTTGGGAGGTAATTTGCAATTATACAGAACATTGGTTAGGCCACTTTGGGAACACTGCATGCAATTCTGGTCTCCCTGCTATAGGAAGGATGCTGTGAAACTTGAAAGGGTCCAGAAAAGTTTGACAAGGATGTTGCCAGGGTTGGAGGGTTTTAAGCTATAGAGCGAAGCTGAGTAGACTGGGGCTATTTTTTCAAAAGCATTGGAGGCTGAAGGGTGACCTTAAAGAGGTTTATAAAATCAAGAGGGGCAACGGGTAGGGTAAATAGACAAGGTCTTTTCCCCAGGCTAGGGGAGTCCAAAACTAGAGGGCATATGTTTAAGGTGAAAACAGAAAGATTTAAAAGGGACCTAAGAAGCAACTTTTTCATGCAGAGGGTGGTGTGTATGGAATGAGCTGCCAGAGGAAGTGGTGGAGGCTGGTACAATTACAACATTTAAAAGGTATTTGGATGGGTGTATGAATAGGAAGGGTTTAGAGGGATATGGGCCAAATGCTAGCAAATGGAACTAGATCAGTTTGGGATACCTGGTTGGCATGGACAAGTTAGACCTCAGGGTCTGTTTCTATGCTGCATGACACTATGACACTAATTCAGGGAGTTGAGGGCTATGAGCTGGAATAAAAAGAAGAGTTGAGGCCTGGGACAGTTCAGCTATAACCTTATAGAATGGAGGGGCAGGCTTGAAGGGCTGAATGGTCTAACTCCTGCTTCCATTTCTTCTGTTCTTCCAACCTTTGTAGTATTCAATTCCTCTACCCATTTTTTTTGGTATCATGTAGAGTGAACTAAGTTAGCTGAAAGCTGGCATCTGTAATGTTGGGGTACGTTTGAAGGGGGCTAGGATGGGTCATTCACTTGGCACCTCTGGCTGATGATAGTTCAGCTTTATATTTTGATTGTCGTTAATGCACTCTGCTTTGCATACGGACAGTGATCTTGTGTTGTGGTTTCCCCAGGTTGACACTTCACTTTAAGCACGATTTAAGAAGCTTAAAGTTAGTAATTTTCAAGGGCTTGTGCAGACACCACATGTTGGTAACGCTGGTTCTATGTTTGATTTCTTGAACATTATTATTTAAATCGATCACTCCCTCTGTTGCCCAGACAGGTAAATCCAGGGCCTACTTCTCCATCCTCATCATTGGCTGACAATCGTTCATTATTCTGTGCCTTCTTTTTTTGTCTTAACAAGTTGGTTTTTAGAACTTTACATAGCTTGTTACCATTATGGGCTGTTTTCTAAACTGCAACGGCGTTGGCATTTCATTGGTCAGGAAGTGTTTTGGGACATCCAAAGTGACTGAAGCTGCCATTTCAACATGACTTTGACAGTTGCTGGGCAAACACAGTAGTTACTTCTTACATAGCAAGATCCCAAAGAGATAAATGACATGTGAATTGGCTTTTTAAAACAACATTGAGCAATCAACCAGTGTCGAAGACAGGGACTGCATTTGGAATATCGTCTGGATTTATTTTCTCTGCGTCTTAACAGCCCCTACGTACTGGACTGTCCATCACCCAACGCCTGCATGCCTCTATCCTGCCTCAGCACTTCCCTTTCAATTTTCAGGCTAAAAAGGGTTTTCAGCTTTTCAGAGGTAACGGTCTGAAGGAACAGCCTGGAGTAACAGCAAAGAAAACCTATGATTTGCAACTGTTTTAAAAATGCATTAACATTCTGAAAGATACACTAAGAGCTACCTGGACTTAACACTACAGCAGTTCATGAGCGGCATAATACCACAGGTACAAGCAGGCACCTGCAGATGGATTATGACAGAGTGCCCTTGCGTGGTGCGAGTTCTGAAGCAGACACAGTCTCAGGTTTACAGAGGGTACGATCTGAGACACCAGCCAAGCTGCACTGGGACGCTCATGCCTGGGGAGTAACTATAGGCACAGGTGAGGGCTTCCACAGTCGATGAGCCGAGATAGGGTGAAGCCAGCTCACTGAGACAACCCACCTCACAAATATAGGCACACAAGATCGCAGTGGGGACAAAGAAAAAAATCATTGAAGGACAAGTCGGACAGAAAAGTACAAAAGGCATGCGTTTATTGCATCTTCTGTTAACAAATCGACACATCTCTAAAAGACCCGCGTTGTAAAAATTGTGTGGTGTCCCTCAAAAAATGAACACCATACGTCGTGACGCTGTCAACACACCCCTTCTGCCCTCTAAACAAGTACAGCTATTTACCCAAACGTAAAACGAGTGAAAAGTCTGTGCAAGTTAACATCTTGGTCCACACCACATCCGTTTCACCTGGCTTTGCTAGCCTTCGGAAGCGGCTACCTGCTTTCAGCTTCAAGTATATTCTTCGGTTAACAGTGCACAGCACAAGTGAAGGAAAACAGAAAAAAAGCCTTTCAGAATAAACCACCAGTTTCATGGGAGAGTGTCGTAGCCCGAGAATTTCAAAAAAATGACCGACAATGTGCCCATCGTAGTCACAGGTGTAGAGCGACATGCAAGTTCTCACAAACCTCTATGTAAGTTGTAAACAAGGCCAGCCAAACGATGGGCAAAGCAATAAATACAAAATAAAGCAGGTACTTCTGCATTCTTACAAAAAAAACGCTACGAGAGATCCACCTTCGACATCATTGACATAAAATACAAAAAGGTAAATTTTTAAAATACAATCTTCCATACCCCCGCAGTAATACAAATCCAAAAACAAAAAGAAATATTCTTTACAAAAATAGTGCAAAATTCTGCACTGCACGCCTGAATTTCTCATCAGGGGATACTGAACGGTTATGTACAAATGGCAAAACCTCTGTTAGATTTAACAGAAATGCATGTATTTCTTTACGGCCATGCAATCATTGTCAATGTATTGCTCAGAGTATTAAAAAAAAGTGAACAGTTTCAAAACAACAGTGGATACAATTTAATTCTGAAAAACACTGTACAGTTATAAATCTGTCCCCTTCCCATCTGATAATCTCTTGAACTTTTCCAAATACTACTGGTAAACTTAATATTGCAGCGTATTACCATATTTTAAAAGAAATTTTGGTAAATCTTGATGGAATCCCAAGCCCAGTGTCCAGAGTCAGATCCCTCAAGTACAGAAGGAGCCACTTTCATTCCAACTCAGGTTGTAGCTGGAGTGTGAGGGTTGCATGTGTGTAAGCCAAATCCAGCCATCCCATAATATTGCACCAGCAGGCAAAATGTGGAGATTTACAAAGGATGGTACATTCAGGGGGTTTTGACTCATTGGCTTAATTCCAGGAATAGGTTTTTCACTGAGACATGTGGATTATTGCCTGTGCGTTCGATCAGCAGTAATGTTAGAACAAGACTCGGCCAACACAGTTCCTAGCGGATCTGACTCCTGCTATCATTAAACCCTTGGTTAAAAAAGTCAGGAGTCACGTGACACCAGGTTACGGCCCTACAGGTTTATTCGAAATCACAGGCTTTCAGAGCGCTGCTCCTTCATCAGGTGAAGTGCTCCGAAAGCATGCCATTTCAAGTAAATCTGTTGGACTATAACCTGGTGACATTGTCCACCCCACGCCAACACTGGCGCCGCCACATTATATTAAAAAGAGTAAAAGGAATGAGTGGGTAGGCTTGTGCGTTGGCGGGGGTGTTTTTGGGTGGGAGGTGACATGGTATAAATAGGTCTAAAAGTGCTCGCTCAGCATGGCAGACAGCCATTTCTACCAGCTGCAAAGCGTGCCCCACATACATATCAAAACTGGGATCAACCGTACAGTCAGTCAGTGCACGCACCAAAGGAGGGCAGGACAATCGCAAATCATCCACATCTCCCACTGCCTCGATAGTAAATCTTACCGTTTACATCCGATGCAGTGACAGTACAGACACAGTGTTCCTGAAGGGAGCGTACACTTGGGGGTTGACAAACTGATGCATCGAGAAGCTTAAGCCTGCCTGATCTTTACCCGAAAATCAAATTCCTGCTAAAACACGAGCTGCCCAGAGGCCAGAGCACTCTCTCTTTGGCCAAGATCCCTGTACAAAGTTGGCAGCCAGCAATATTTGCTTTCGAGACAACCTCTGCTCACAGAAACCGATCCAGCAGCTGAGTGGAAAGCTGCCGCCCCTCTTATAAAACACAAAACGTGAAAACATTCATTAACCTACAAAAAGCATCATATTCATAAAAAGGCTACAGGCAGAACCTGTACATTATATTCAATTAACATTTGATCAAGATTGTCGTAGCTGATAAATCTGTAACAAAAAGAGAAAAAAAGAAAAAAGTGAATCCAAACAAACCAAATTTCAAAGTCCAAAAAGAAAAGTCGGGACAGAAAGTCCACAGAAGCACAATTCTTTGGTCAGAGTCCCTGCTAGTGGCATTTGTTCCTATCAAGGAGTATTTAGCAATCTTCGTTGATTATTCGCTTCCGGAGTCCCCCATCTGTATCACTATCAGATGCTGGCTGATCGTCCTCAAAAGCTGATTCATCTCCCGAGGGCTTGGCGCTCAGAATGTAATTTTCATCCTCTGCTCCTGAACCATGCGTTTCCCACTCAGAGGGATCCTGCTCCCTCCTGTCCAGCTCCTCAGAGTCCTCATCTTCCCCCTCGACAATCTCTGCCAATTCAGAAAGTACGGGTAAGGGTCAGTCAAGTACACAATGGTCCCTGGTCACCCATCTCCCCTTCGCCCATCAGCCTCCCCCTCCGCAGGTTATTAATTCCCTTTTCGTGGTCAAAAGTCACACGACACCAGGGTACAGTCCAACAGGTTTATTTAAAACCACAAGCTTTCACAGCGCTGCTCCTCCACCAGGGGATGGGAGGCACACAGGAACATAACATACGGGTGAAGAGATAATGGCAAGATAATTCCAGGTAATTAAGCATGTCAACAGTTAAGTATAAATAGTGTGAGTAGAGGGTCAACAGACTGAATAACAAGTCTTTGTAAGTATCAACCAGATTAATAGAAGTAGTGTGAGTAAAGTGTTGTTAGCTGATTGACCAGAGAAGGGATGAACTATGAATTGATTAGTTAAGGCAGAGAAATAATTACAAATATAAATCAAAAATAAGATGGTGCTCGAGATAAACCAATTGGCTGGAATAACACGTGGAGGTATCAGAGGCGCACGACGAGGGTCTAACAAAAGTTAAAAGCAATCAAAAACTGTACAAACTAATTCAGGCAGAGAGGTGATCACAAGTAATCAAAGTAATGGTATCACTTGATCACCTGTTACTTTGTCATGTGACTTTTGACTTTGTCCACCCTAGTCCAATACCGGCATCTCCACATCATTTCCACTGTAGCGCAGTGACCAATCTCCAATTCACCGTCTGCTCCTTTTACTGTTATTCACAGGGTATACAGCCCGAGAAAGCGCTTTACTCGAAGCAACAGGTTTGCCTGCCTTTGGAAAAAGGATTCAACTCATCTGGGCACAGATATGAACTGTATCACGCCAGAGTGCAGGACACTACAGCTTTTGTGATCAATATTACCAGCGTCCTATTCCACGGACATTCAGTTTCTGGTAATAGAAAGGGCAGTAGTTGATAACAGACAGACGCTTGCTAATTCCAACAACAAATGTCTGGACATAAGAGGGCACAGATCAAAACTGTATAATCACTCTCTTCACAAAGAAAAGGTCAATCTGTAATTCCCATCCTCCCATTATTGGGATAGCGGGATAGATAGTTAAAGCAGCCCCAACAATTCGAAAAGAACGAGCCAGTTAAAATCAACTACATCGTTACAACAGCGCTGTGTCTGATACACACAACATCATCTCAATCAGTTGTGCCTTCCGTTAGGTTTGGACTTTGTGCAGGGTATGAATCAGTATGCTTGGAGTGGTTTCGTTAGAGATGTAACAGGAAGTTATAAAAAAAAAACTTGCTAAAAAGCATCACCACCTCAGATATTCCTGCCACAATTCAACTAGGCAGGAGAGAGAGAGATACAGTGAGGAAAAAAGGGAAAGTGGGACTGGCGTTGGTAGTTGTATATTTTTGGCAGTACAAACTCGACGGGCCAAAGGGTCTCTTTCGTAATGTACGTTCCTATGATTCTATGAACTGACATATTCATCTTCTGAGTGCATTGCTGGGAAAGTCTTGGGTCCTTGTACTCAATGGATGTTTTTGATTGGTGCAGGCTCAATGCGCTGAAGGGCCTTCTTCTGCACTGTAGACCTGTAGGACTCTATACCCACACCTCCCAAAATCAAATAAAAATCGGGAGGTTAATACAAAGTTAGATAGGTTCTTAATTAGTGAGAAGGTCAAAAGGATATGGGGAGAAGGCAGGAGAATGAGAAACATATCAGCCATGATTAAATGATGGAGAGGATTCGAAGGGCCAAATGCCCTAATTCCACTCCTATATCTTATGGTCTTTTGCTCTCATGGAGGAGGATAATGTTCGTGGCACAATTAAAATCAAACAAATTGTTTTAAAAAACAAAAAAGGCATTTTTAATCCTTTTCTTGAAAATGATCCTTGAAGTTTTCTAATTGCAGGCTACAACCGTAATTTCCATTTCCGTGTTAGATACAAATCACAGCAGAAACAAACAGACAGATTTAGTGGAACACAGAAAAACAAAAAACTGTACCCTAATTCAGCATTTCTGCAAGGCAAAATGAAACATCATTGCACCTATCTGATGTGGTTACAAATTCGCTACAGAATAGAAAACAGATGAGTAAATGATTTATTACTGTCACATATACCTCGGTACAGTGAAAAGTTTTGTTTTGCATGCAATACAGGGAGATCATAACATACAAAGATTGAGCAGAGTGAGGAATACAAAGTGTGCACCTTCTTTGCAGCTGTAAAACAGCGAGATCAACATTAAATTTGGAATTTGAGAGCCAAAGTTAATTTGCAAATCTCTTACCTGTAACCTCATTTTGTTGCCGTTTGGGGGGACATATACAATCAGCAATTAGGACTAAAAACTAAAAGGAAAACAAAAACAATACTAGATTGATGACGAACAGGAAATTTAAAGAGTATATATTGCATCCACTTGGACAGAATTTTGCACAGCGCTGATGCTAACTGTGCAAAGAAAACATCAATAACATGCAACTCATTGTGAACGATTTAGATCGATACAAACTTTAACCAAGAACAAATGCAAAGTATGTCCCAAAAAAGCAGTTTTTAAAATATTAGTATGTGTGACATCAAAAAAAACTGTGCCCTGAAGAGAGGGAAACAAGTAAAATCATTTCATTTGCGACTTGACAGAATTCAAAACTTTTAAGCCTTCCAAAAGTTCCAATTCCTCCAGCAGTTTGTCAGCACAGTACGGTACACAGTCAGAAAGAAATAAACACAGGCAATTTCACCAATTTTAAAAAATGTGTGGTGAGATGTTGAAACAAAATGGTGAAACAAACTGGCTCAGTGGTTAGGAACAAAAACAAAGTTGCTGGAAAAGCTCAGCAGGTCTGGCAGCATCTGTGGTGGAGAAAACAGAGTTAACGTTTCGGGTCCGGTGACCCTGCCTCAGAACTGATGGTGGCTGGGAAAATGTCAGTTTGTATGCAGAAAACAGGGAGGTGGGTGGGGTAGGGAATAAACGATAGGATAGAGCCCAAAGAGAGAGAAAAACAGTTGGACAGACCAAGGAGTTGCTAACGATCAGGCTGGGAAGGTGAATAGTTGTTAATGGGGACTGTTAGTGACTAACAACAGGGGGTGTGTAGTGGCAGGCTATGTGGTAACAAGGCCTGGTGTGTGGGATGGGGGGCTGGGACATGGGAGAGTTTAGGCCCTAAAATTATTGAACTCAATATTGAGTCCGGAGGGCTGTAGGGTCCCCAAGCGGAAAATGAGGTGTTGTTCCTCCAGCTTGCGTTGGGCTTCACTGGAACACTGTAGCAAGCCAGAGACAGAGACGTTGGCCAGGGAGCAAGGTGGTGCATTGAAGTGGCAGGCAACAGGTAGTTCAGGGTCTTTTTTGCGAGCAGAACGTAGATGTTCTGCGAAGCCGTCGCCAAGTCTACGCTTCGTTTCCCCAATGTGCAGGAGACCACAGTGTCAGCAGCGAATGCAGTAGACTAGATTAGCGCAATGCTGCCTCACTGCGCCAGGGACCCGGGTTCGATTCCAGCCTCGGGTGACTGCCTGTGTGGAGTTTGCACATTCTCCCAGTGTCTGCGTGGGTTTCTTCCGGGTGCTCCAGTTCCGCGACTCCCCACACACAGTGCAGGTTGGGTGGATTGGCCATGCTAAATACAGGGATAGGGTGGGATGTTCTTCAGTGGGTAGGTGCAGACACAGTGGGCTGAATGGCCTTTTTTCCGCACTGTCAGGGTTCTAGGATTCATTTGGGCTCACAGGCATGCACAGAAACTGGGACAGAAGCAGCACCAGCGTGTGGGAAAACAAACCAACTGTTGAGGAGCTACGGCAGCACTATGTCAGGACCACCACGAGATCTTCTGAGGTGTCACACAGCAAGATCCCACAAACCACAATGCAGCAAAGATCAATTCATCTCCTTCCTTATTCCCCTCAACAAAACAAAATATCCTGCTTTCAGCATGCGAAGTAGGCTGAGAAAGGTACAGAGAGAGAGACAGCACGAGAGGGAGGGCGATAAGGGACAGAGACCGAGAAAGAGAGATACAGAGAGAGCGATACAGAGATAGATAAAGAGATACACATAGATACAGAGTGAGAGAGAGAGAGAGAGAGAGAGACACACAGACAGAGTGACATGGGTACAGAGACACACAGAGAGAGAGAGAGAGGGAGAGAGAGAGCGAGAGAGAGACAGAGCGAGAGATAGGGGAAGGAGGATGTGACAACCGGTCTGCTTGGACAGATAAGAAGTTGCGGTAATAGAGAAATGGGGGGTGGGGGGTAGGAGAGAGGTTTAAGACAGTCACATTGAAAACAGACACATGGGAAAGGCACAGTGATGACTGAAAAAGCAGCTTTCATTTGAAATGCCCCCTTTCCCACCCACAGTCTGGTCTGGTTTATTTCACCCAACTCAATACCTTTCATCCTGAAAAACAAATTATTCAACCTTACAACCCATGTCATCAACTCTCCAGGGGATCCTGGGGAGCTAAACGTAATCATTTTGTCTCAGCCCCTCGCGCGTTAAACATCCGATTTTGATTAGAGATCTGTACGTATGCACTGACTTACCAGGCCAAGAATGAGACCTGCCACTAGCGTAGCCACTGCAAAGATAATGTATGAGCCCCAAGCTGGGATCCCCAGTGTTTCAGTCAGGTAACTGTGCATTTGCTGCAACAAACAAAAAAAATATCTCACGTTGAGAAACTGATCGAGAATTTACACAAAATGATGCTTGTTACCCTGACTCACCGGCAGCTGCAAACAAGAAACAACATCACCTCAAGGGAGGAAATGTATGTTAAATATTTGATAAGAAGCCATCACTAACTTTCCATTCTGTATAGCAAGCCTTTAACTTACACCAGTGCCTTTCGACAGAGCTCTACCAGCAAACAGACTGGAGTTCTCCAATGCAACAAAGCAGAATTTCCACACAGTGCTGACCATTTCAAGGAATGCAGAGGGTTTTTTCCTTGATGCCTCACCTCGAACTTACAAACCGGAATCTTTTTCCATCTGAAGTAGAACTGGTGTCAGCGGCTGTATTTAAGGCAGGTTGCTATTTTACTCCTGAAAAATCGCAACTTTAAGTGAAGCACAATTTCTCATAGGAATCAATGTCAATGCCAGAGTTACGTTCAAATGAAACAACGCACTGTTTGAAATACTTCACTGCGTTCCTGGATGAATTTTTTTTTTTTTTTTACAAGAAAATAAATCACTACCCATAGATAGGTAGCTTAGACGGGAAACTTTTCCCCTTGAAGGGAGGATAAATGACCAGGAGGTGTAGATTTAAGGAAAAGGGCAAAAGGTTAAAAAGGGATTAAAAAAAGTTGCTGGAAAAGCTCAGCAGGTCTGGCAGCATCTGTGAAGGGAAAAACAGAGTTCATGTTTCGGGTCCGATGACCCTTAGAACTAGCTTCGAGTCAGGGTCACCGGACCCGAAACGTTAACTCT